CCTGTAGAGGCGCACTTGCTCGGAAAGCTTGCCCTCGAACTCGTCCATCTTCCTGTTTCCGCTTTGGCGCGCTCAGATGAAAAAAAAGAGTGGTGCACGGCCTGGCGCAACCTGGCATAAATCCTGGCGTGACAGCGAGATCCACGTCATTTTGACGTCACATTGTCGCGTGACAGGTCGGGAACGGCGAGTATACAAGACGCTTAAGGCCCCTTTACAGTAGGCAAAGACTTTATTAGAATCGTCTCACACAGTGGGACATGCAAACTTACATGGGCCTTTTTGTCGCACAGCCTAAAGGGGTCTTTACATAGATAAGGTTTGTGTGTGTGCATGAATCATCAGGTGGAAAAAAGCTAATGTAATTGACCTTGTAGAGAGGAGTGTACATATATTTGCATCTGTGTTTGTTTTGTGTGGGTGTAGGCATCCACATTGTTGGCACAAACAGAAAAAACTGAGCTCTCCAGAGCGGTGTAGTGTCACACTGGGATATAAATAATTTCCACAGCCTCATAAAAATAACAGGAAGAAAATCACATAAGGGGATTCACCGAGAGCAACTGTAAGACATACAAGACTGGTTATCTGTAACACGAGACAGTACATACGTTAGTCATGCTAGGATGATGTGATGGCTGTAACAGCGAGGAACGAGTAGCAAGAATGGCGGGAGGAAGGCTCTAATTTGAGGAGAAAATTGAAGACAAGTGTTTTATAATGTGTTTAAATGCTATCTTCAGGGTTGACCTTTTCCCTCCTGAGGTCTGATATTGCGTTTTCACTCAGAGCGAAAATCAATACATAGTTCGTAAGTAGGGACACTTTCCAATTCTCAGACCCTCTCCTTGCTGCCTCATGGCCTTCTCTGCCCTTTGGTTCTCTGTTCCTTTCATTAATCCCTCCCTCCCTCCTGCTCCTCCTCACCGGGGGCCAGGAGTTCATCCCAGGAGCCCTCTTCCTCAGCCTGCCAGGATATTTCAGTGGCCTAATGAAAAATACTTTCCACAGAGTGAGACAGAGAGAGGATATAAGCAGAATACAGAAGGAGTGAAGTAGTGACGAGGGAGGAAGAGAGATCAGAAAAGACATACCAAGGATTATATATAGATTTGAAAGGAGCAAAGGACGTCAGCATCCAAGGTGTATGTGTGTGTGTGTGTTGACAGTCAGAGTCTATTAAGGGAACGCTGCAACAGCCACAGAGGACAGACTTCCCTGTCTGTCAAGTGCTAGACAAACAACTCACACAGTTAATGCCGAGTCACTAGACGGGAACTTTTTTCTCTTTTTTACGGGTTATGTGTCAACACATGGAGCAGTGAGCCATTCTCAAAACAATCAAGTCATTTCAAGTAAAAAATACAAACATTTTCACAACAGTACTTAAAGTTTACTGACATTTTGAGACAATGTCAAGTGGGTGACACTGCTTTCTGTAGGAATAAAATGGAAGATAGACAACTGGTTTTCCATGAACAGTGTTTTGTATTTAAACTGACAATCACACATTCTTCACATTCTTTAAATTGTGGGTTTGGAAAATGTTCCATAAACTAAAAGGATGTGAGATTTTATTCACAAAGAGAGACAAAAATATCGTAAATGAACAGTGTGTCGGGTTCAGTGACATCTAGAGGTAAAATTGTAGATTGCAACCATTTGAATACAGCTCAGCCTTCCAAGTGTGTAAGAGAAACTATGGTGGCCACAAAACTCGTGAAAGGCCCTAAAAAAGGGCTCATTCTAAGGAACCAAAAACGCAACAGTTCTTATATATTCAGGCAATGATACACTAATGAAAACATACCTCTGAATAGTATATTCAATTTCTGGCAATAGATCCCCCCTAAAATTACCAGAGCTGAAACAAATAGTCAATTAATCAATCAACAGAAAACCAACAATTCTGATTCTGTTTAAGTAACTCTTGAAACACAAATACACAAAATTAATTGAGTCCCCCTTCTGAAGTGTACATAATTTCAGGTCTTCTTAGATTTCCACTATAATAAACTGAACATCTGTAGGTATTGGACTGTTGGTCAGACAGAGACGCGGTTTGATTATTTCAACTAAATTATGATGGGACTTATATATGGTCCATTTTATGAATTTTATAGGCCAAACGATTCATCAAGAAAATAAGGTTAACCATGTTAATCGACATTGAAAGTAAGCTACAAATACAGCAATAATCCCCCAGACCAGACACTCATGTTAGACAAGGTCACGGGGGATGATGGCTGCAGGCTAGCCCAGCTAGAAGACAATTAATACTGACTAACAATCCCATGAGACTTAAGAGATAAAAAACGACCAGCATCATTTCATTTAAATAATTTGCTCCAACTTCATCAGCAATGATAAACGAGTGCCTATGGACAACAGCTGCAACCTAAAGCCTTCCTAAAACACACACACACACACACACACACACACACAGAGGAATCCTTAATGTGTTGCCCTACAAACAATGTATTAACTACTAAACCACTTAGATGCCGAACCTTCACACACCAATGCACAGATGACAAACATAGCAGCCCGAACTTTGTTGCTGTTACAATATGATATTTATATCATAACACAGATTGTTGAACCCTGGCAGAGTGGACGACAGCATCCTGGCGACATGTTGTCTTCATCCAGTAAAGTCAACTATGAGGCCAACTTCTGTGTATGCCATGTCTCTGTGTTACAGTGAGTGACAAAGATATAATGCATGTGCTATATGGTCTAAGTTGTGTGAGCATGAGCGTGTGTGTGTCCGTGGATTATGGATTACTGTCTGTAATCATCTTAAAGGCCAGTAGGACAAGGCTAGCAGCATGACCAGACTAGACCCACACAAACACACACATAGGCAGGGCACAGTGAGTGTTCACACATTTACAGCGGACTGATTTATTGTCCTGTTCTGCTTTACAACAGTCTTTATCTAACAGGTAGCGAGCTACTGAGCAACTAGGACAATGCAATGTTCACAGTGCTGATTGTGTTTGTGGATGATGAGTCGAAATCGACTTTTCATGTTTAAAAAGAAACGGATGCAGCCAAAGTCACCAAGGAGACAAACTGCAGTTTGATTCAGCACAACTGACATTTCAGAGTAATTAAAAAATGGACACATAAAGCAGTGTCTTCTGAATGGCAACAATGTCACCACAATAAAATGCAGCACGCGGTGATATACAGCATAAAGCACAGTGGAATCCAGTGGTAGCTATCAATGCTAATATAATGGATAAGAGAACATTAATACAAAGGATAACGTTATCTTAATTCACACTGAACAACTTGAAATACACATTGCCAGCAAAGAACTGACTGTATTTGGCCATAAAGTTTGAAATATTAGTTCATCTCATTAAACTGACATTTGTAAAATACTGGCCTTTCTTAAATTCGTGCAGCACTTTGCAACTTTTGTTTTGAAAAGTGCTCAATAAATAATTTTTTACTGAATTTCTCACATGTTTATAATAAGCATGATCACTTCCTTTGTGCACTACTAACCGTCTCTGTTAACTTTAGATATACACTAGAGAGTAAGAGTACAGGGTGTAAAATGTATAGCTGTCTATATACAGGAGTCTGGGTGTTCTGCTCAGTAATCAACTTAAAGGAGATCAGCAGATCAGAGGAACCTGAGACGATCTTCATGATCCTTCAGGAGGACTGAACTCTGGTCTTTTGGGTTTGGACGGAGACTCATTATCTTGTGTACGTGAGTGTCTGCAAGTGTGTGTCAGATCTTTGTCTTCTATTTGTTTACCAGCTACAGAACATAAACAGGTCAAAACATGAGCATTGCATCTTTTAGTGTGATCAAATGGAAACTGCTGTAACTGTGACCATGAAAATTAATTAACAAACATTTTGAATGACTGTATTCTCATTTAGTTGGACATTAAACATTAACTGAGCAGATGACTCACGATTGGAGACCCCATTCTAGTGTGAATTTCTTGAAAACGTATTCATGTAAAAACTATATTTCTTATAACATTTACATGAATTATTAACATAGTACTATCTACATATCTACATATAATTTACACTCAAAGACTACTAACATGTCTATAACATGTGTATGAACAGACTAAAGTAAAAATAGAAGCTAAATATTTAATCTGGTGATGTGATTCCAGTCTAGGAACTTATTAAGGGATGCACAGAATTATAGTCTATAGTCTAATAAAGAAAATGAGGGTAAGTGTAGGACAGATTCAGAGACATATGAATGCCAAAAGACAGTGATGGGATGTTATTATAACTTGATAGTCTGTGATACACCAAACAAAATGTTTGAAAATCAGACCAAGATGTGCAGCTAGTAGAGCAACCAGACAGGCTATTGGCTTACTGGTTTTAAATCCAGTCCAGTCTGGGGCCTTTGTCACATGTCATCCCACTCTCAATCCCATTCTGGGAAGACCCAAGAAAAAAGATCTGTCTTACATAATAACATATGACACAGTAGCTATGTCTCACCTGGCTGCGGGGCTGTCGTCAGTGTGTGTGTGCTGTGGTGAGTCAGAGGAGGCCGGACCTTCCTCCCCGTCCTGAGGCAACTCTTCACATTCTGCTTCACACCTCTCATCATCCAACAGCTCAGTGATCTGAAGACAGACATTGACAGCACACAAAAGGTTACCGTCTAAAAATGTATTCATTCACTTAGATGGAAAAGTATGTGAAGATATTATTAATGCTTCCTTTAGTTAGTATGGGATAGTAAACAATACCAGTTTACATTTGATAAAAACAGTTATAATAAAACAGGAACTTCAATGAAAATTGAAATAGACTGGACGGCAACAAGGCAGAGATTATTATCTTCGCAGATCTCTTTGTTTCACGGTACAAAAGAGTGAAAATATAACAACAAAAAGCATTGGTACCGGCATCGGCTATTGCCCAGAATTTCCCAATCGTATCCCTAGTATCAAAGTTGTCTCATCTAGCGGATTTCTAAGATTAGTGTACACCTATAACATCTCCTGAATTTGTAAGGATTATATACAATTAAATATTAATAAAAACCCTTTCCACTTTATTTTTAATTTGTTTTGTTGTGACTTTTTGTGTCGAAAGATGAACTGCAGAAGAGAACGAAATAAAGGTGTTGACAGTCTGTGTTCATATATGTAGTATGTCTGTGCATGACAGGAACAACATTATACAATTTGTTCCATAAGAAAAGAAGAAGAAAATATAGATGAAGCTAATGAGTAACACATTGACACCACCGAGATGGTGGTAAGCAGAGATAAAAGCTGAATGACAAAATAACAAGAGAAGAGGAAGGGATGGAGGGTTTAAAATAGTGACATATATCAGTTTCCTTTTGACTTTGCAATGTACCAATGCATGATGCAATGTCACATTGCAAATTATGCAATAAGGCAAAGAAGGCCCACCATGATGGACTATCAAACCTATTTTACTGACATAAAATGCATGTTTTAATGACCAATATGTGGCCCGTTTTAAATATGTGTTGGTTACAATTACAACACTCTCAGGTTAGAGAACTGAGGAAAAACAAACCAACAAGAACATCAAATAGATTTTTGCATCTACAGTGACATTGCTGTGAGGAGTAAAGACAATGAAAGAAAAGAATGATAAAGAGAGCCAGAGGGAAGAGATGGAGGGAGTGATAGAAGGCAGAGTGTAATGAATCTGACAGTAGACGAGAGATGTAAGACCAGAAGGAAAAAAGGGAAGGGACCTCCCTTTTTCTCATCTGGGGAGAGAAAGGGAGGGCAGTAAATATGTAGACGCAAATAATTCATCATAATACGATACCACGAACAAAAAATCCTTGTGCAGTAGTTTAGCAGAGATAAACCGCTCCTTTCGCTTTGTTTTGCTGATTTGATTTAGTAATATGTGATTTTTCTAAATAAACGTTATATTTGTATATAATACACTAGTGATTAAAGCTATATACTGGCCACAAAGGGTTTTTCATGTGCAGCTTAATTCAGTGAGTATCAGTAAAACTGAACTGGGAAAACCCCTGGAAGCAACATGGGTGAAAAGGTCATGAACCAGATTTGTCATCATGAGTCTTTTTTTTTTTCTACCTCCATATCACTCTTTGTCCCCGATGCTATTCTCTTTCCTCCCTCACTCTTCAGCTCTCTTCAACAGCAACCCCATCTGCTGCTGTCACTGTGTCGTTGCTACGGCAACACCTCTGTTCCAAGAGCTCGGATTGGCTGTCAGGGAATTCTTGCATCGTCACATGTGCAGATCAGGGAGGATGACTCACAACACTCCTCTGTGTGTGTGTGATGTGATTAGGTAAAGAAATCCTACTTTTAGACAGCTTCAGTCTCATTTTATATCTTTTCCTTGTGACAATGTCCTTTGTGTTGGTCTGCAGCCAAGTAGAGCTGCACTGTGATGTGTAGGTGTTTTTAACCAAATTACTAAATGGTGTGAAAAGCTCATAAATAATGATTTATCACCAAACCGTCTCTCTGTGCTGTGAGGATATGAACAAATCAAAAGAAGTGCACACTGACGCTGACTTTTTATACTTGCGCAAATGATCTTGTGTTTTGTCCCAACTGCACTTGAAAGCTCAACATATCTTAAAACTCTCCCTGTGATTCATTTGTCAGCCAGCATCTGAATATGTCAGGGAATGCCATAGGAACATTGGCAGAAATAACTATCTCCACTTGATTTGGCTAATAATGACTTCACATTTCAGATATATACAATTCAATAATAAAATAATATCTTAGTTTAAAATGTGCAGAATTTGATATCTTTAAATGAAATTATGACCAGAGAACTACATTAAAGGTATCCTGAATTTGAGTTTCGACTAATCATACTTTAAAATGGGGATGTCTATTCATCTTTCCACTAGTCATGAAGGTACTGTTTAATATGTTTAAAGGGTTTGTCAGAATTGTGGACATAGTAGCTACGCCACCCTTACAACTAGTACACAAAAATAACAATAAGTTAAATCATCTTGGAGCATTCACGTGGCACAGCGGTCTTAGACGAGTATCATATAATCGTGTAACAGAGAACAGAATAAGGGACAAACAATTGGGGATAACAGAACTATATTAACAGGCCACTGGAAAAATAATCTAAAGACAGTCATTAAACTAAAGCTGCTATCACCATCCAGATCAGTTCTTTCTGTCTAAAATGGTTCCTGATCTCATGGGCAGAATAAAATCATTCGGAGTACTTAAGTGACCTTGATTCAAACTCTGATCTACATTATCATCATGTAAAATTCATTCAAAGCTATTCACCAGTAATACAAATGAACGATGCCATGAATATAACCTTGAGTTATACACCAGCTTCCAAAAGCATAGTCTATCAAGACTGCTGGTCAGTGATATGGAAAAATGTGTCTGGATATCTCTGTAAATAGAAAAGTCTCCTCGTTTATACCCAATATAGGCAGGAGATGACATAATGAACAATGCAACTTGAATTCATAAGTGATTCTGGGCTATAGGCATGCATTCAGATGGCATGAACAGTGTTATAAATATCACAGCTGTGCTGAGTAAGTTACTGTATCAAAAACCTTCTGAGGTGACGTAACAATATTAGAGGATAAGAGTTGTTAAATCCGCTGTCAGGATGACCTGGAATGGTCATTCATAAGCTGGAAATATTATCCCCTTATTTAAGACTGTGGAAAATTTTAATCATGTTAACTCACAAATCAGAGTTAAAAAAAAAAAAAAAAGGAGTTACTGTGTGCGTTTCTGTGTATTATGTAGGACTGTATGGTGTGAGTGTGTGCCCGAGTGGGTGCAACGACAAGGCCGAGAGCAGCCTGGAACAAAAGGTCTTGAACTTGGCCCTGGTTTAGCGGTTCGGTCCAGGGTTTCGGGGGGGACAGAGAAACAACAAGCCCTACTGACATCACTAGTTGAACTGTTAGTGGGCCAAGAACACAGAACAATGACAACTGACTAGGACTGACATTACAAGTCTCACGCTGTGGCCTACATCTGTGGCTCTTTTGTATGCCTCCTTCATTCTGATGTTAGATAAACATTAATACAGTGACTACATTGTACCTCTAGAAAGTTGAAAAAAAGCTTACAGTTTTTTACTTCAGTGATCTCCATCTTACATTTATGGATTTTGCCTTCCTTTGTAATGCTATGTGATCCTTTTTTTAAGAAAACATTGCATGGGATTGTTGCTGGACTATTCAGAAATGTAATATGTATGAGTGCAGGGTTTCATTTTTTATTTCCTTTGTCTTTTACATTAGAAACACAAGGAGTTTTTAAAATAAACATTGCAGCATTCAGTGGCACAATCTGAGCAAGGAAAACAGGTCTTAGTGTTCAGCTCAACTGTTCAGTTTCTTCTCTCAGTGAGTTCCTGCTCATTCTTGCCTGTGTGACTGTACTGTTTACTTCCAGCAGTACCACCGGAGATAAGCCCTCTGGCCTAACGTTCCTGCAGCGAGTGGGCCATGTGATATATCTGTCATCTTTACCTGATGAAACTGATTTACAGACATTCATATTCTCTCTGACCACCCATAAACTGTTGTAAATAAATCAACTGTTCAGCTCTGTATTTCTAAACACTTGATGAAAACAAACTGTGTAAAATGTGTAAGTTTATACTACATGTCCCCTTACAGAGATATTATACATCTCCCTGACTGTTCAACTAGGCCATCACCTCCTCCTTAAATAACTCAGCTTATCACTGTGTCACAAGATCATATAAGTGTATATGCTCTAACCTATAGAGGCTGTCCCCAGCTGCTGAACATTGTGACAACCTCTGGTATTTGTAACATTACTACATTCACCCAGTTCTAATTCATGTCCATGGTCCAGGTTACAGCTATACATTTGCTGTGGCATCTGAAACATGGCTCAGCTCCAGAAGCACTTGACTAAGTTGGCAGAGACAATGTAATAGGATACATCCTGATTTATTTATCTGCTAAGGTTAAACTAACAGAGCTGGAAAAATAAGGCTGTCATTAAGAGGCTAATTAATTAAGTAGACAGACAACACACAGACAGACAGACCACTGAACACTGTGTCAACAGGATAGACGAGTTGCCACTGAAGTCATTTTAAGGTATAAGTAACATTACTGGCCTAATGTATCTGTTGAAGTGACGGCTGTTTGTCATTTAGATATGGGGGGCCATTACGTTAATGTTCCTCACGGCTTTATTCATACATGACAGAATCTTCGAGCTGCAAGTAAGGAGTGTTCTCAGTTGTCTATAGGCTGTGTCACTGATTTACTGGGACAATCTGCTTACTTTTCATGTTCACTGCCAATTTGTTCCATTTCTAAGAGGTATGAGTCAAAAAAGTACATGTTGCTATCTAATGCCACAGGATGCAATGTGGTTGATAATGTTTTCTGCCTGGTGTGCATCCTCAGAAAAGTTGTGCTGAGGAATCAAACTGACTCTCCAACAGTCCAGCCTTTGTGCCAAGCTAAGCAAAAAATGTAATGGGCTATCTCAGCACTGAACGCACAGAGATGATGGAATATTATATTCTTATCTAAAACAAATAAGTGAATGAGTTCAGATTTAAATTATTTTTCCCTACTTCGTCCAGATATCCTGACAATACAAAGCTTCTTTAAACACTGAATGAAAACACACCCACTGGTTTCCATCACAGCAACAACAAAGCCTCGCTCTCACCTAAACAATAATTCAACTCAATCCCATTTTGCCAACAAAGCCAAAATCCAGGTTAGCACATACCAGTGTTATACACCTGCCTGCCTCATTAAGTTTCAAAGTTATGCCCAAACATGCCGTGACACAACAACTGTCCTCTTCTGTCACACTCCCTCCATCTTTCATCCGAGTCTCTGTTAAACAGCCCTTCCATCTTTTTCATTCAACAAAATTTGCGTTGTCCATTAATTTTGCAGTTTATTTGAACTGTCCTCACCAACCTCTGTGTGGAATTTTGAACTTACTCTACAAGGCTTAACAGAAAGCATGAAGCATGTGTGTTTCCTCCTGTGTGAAAGCAGGTGTGTGTGTGTGTGGGAGATAATCCCCTTCATGAGGGTTTGTTCGTACAGAGCGATCCCCAGTGTAGTGCAGGGGCTGGAGGTGTGAGCTGCATGGTTACATCATCAACAGCTTCTTTTCTTATCCTTCTCCTCCCTCGCCATCTCTCCCTCAATTCATTTATTTCTTCCTCTTCTCTCTCTGCACTCTCGCCATTTCTCCCCCATATTCCTGGCTGCTTTTTCTCCCTCTACCTCTCTAAAACCGCCCACTTTTTTGCCCTCTGTGTTACATAAAACACAGGGATCAGCGCACAGATAAATTGTCCTTACAGATTGTTCTCATGGTGTCTCTCTGCTCCTTCTCTCATTCTGTCTCTTGATAATGTTATACTCCAATTCATCTGACACGCCAGCTAATAAAACTGGACAACGGGAGACTAGGAAAAGTCAGAAAGTAAAGAAATTGAATTTGGAAAATAAAAAAGAAATTCTTTAGCTTTCTTTTACAAGCCAGAGCTTTCGTAAGAGGTTTTTCTTGAATAAAGTCACTATATGACAGATAATGACTCCTAAGACTTAAGATTACAAGGCAAGTAAAATTGGAGCCAAGTTTCCCACAGCAGAGCAGACATCAGTTAAGAATACACTGAAATAGAGATGGAAACTGTAACAAAGATGAAATAAAAAAGGAGGGAATCAGTGAAGGAGTTGAGCAGGCAGTCTTAGAGTAATTGAACAGGACACCTACTGTAGATACTGCAGTTGCTCTTCCTGTCCTGGCCAGACTTTAACAATAACTGTCTGTCAGCCTTTAACTTCAACATTCAAACATGAAATTTACAGTGTTGGAGAATGCGCTCTCATATGAGACAGGAAACGTAAGATACCGATCAAGGGTTGTCTCGTAATTATTGTGTCCGTGTACATGTTATCATGTAATAATACAATGTAATCAGACGACTGTAAAATTAAATGTTAACTATGTCATTCTGTTGGCCCAGTAGTGAGGTTTTGTTGCTGGGCAACAGGGGAAATGCCTTTGAGTTTGTTTAGTCTGCCAGTCACGTTCTGTGTGTTCAGTGCAAGACAACGAACAGTTATATAGTTCAACACAGTCAAACAGCTAAAAAAAAATGGTTTGGCATATGCTCATTAAACCAGGTTGATAGTTATAGTTGGAGAATCTCAACACTGAACACGCCTCAGAGTTTATTCAGTGCTCTGTGTAAAGAATGTGTGTGGGTGTGTTTGGGTGGGGCTCTTTCTAGATTTTTCTGGGAGATATTTTGTTGATGGAAAGAACTTGTTCATTTTTTTCATGAATACAATGCACGGTACAACAACAGTTTGAGGAGGTGAGTACAGGTGAATATCAAGGTTACTTACATTCCTATACAACACAAGTTCTGGCTGAGTGCAGCTAATTAATAATGATCAACCTGGATGGATTAACTGTGGTTCGTTTCACTGGAAGAGATTTATTTTCCTAGGTAAGGGATGTAGTCACTGAATCCCTAGTCATTAGTTAATGATTTATAAACTGAAAAGCTCATTCCAAGATGACTGATGCATACTGCATAGCTGACTAATTTGGTAATAAAACAAATGTATGCTATGATGAAAGACTGGAGGTAAATCTGTTATTGTAGTCTTGTCTTTTCCCTCAAAGCAAAGTTTGCTGTGTCTTGCTAACAGTTTGATGACATATCGAAATTTTAATCTTCCACTTTTCACAGAAGGATTTGTCTGTTTTCTCTATGCGTCAACCCAGAAAGAATTTCACCCCTGACCGGGGCAGAGTTAAATGCCACATTCTACTGTCTCAGCGCCATTAGAGAGGAACAAACAAGAGGAGAAGACAAAGAGGAATTTGATGGGTTTTGTAATTGTAAGTCTTTGCCATGATGTCAGGAATGTAACAGTGAATTAATGTATTCATAACAATTTCTTACACAAAAAGCCTTACAGCAACACGCAGATTTCACTTTGTTCTCTATTGTATTTTGTTGTTTGTTTTTATTTGCAAATTGTACGTTGATATATGACCAGATACTAGGAATTTATCGCACAAAGAGCAGATATATACGCTGATTATTTGAGGGGAAAGAATGGATGGAGGAGAGAACAAAAATATATAAAATACACTTTACATCTTCACCATTCACATAAGGACAACTTTGGAAACATCTTTGCAATAAGCATACACTATGAAAGTGTGCCATGTTCATTCTTATATTACCAGATATGCAAGCGGACACTGACACAGTGTAAAAGAGAGAGTAACTGAGAAGATAAAGATAGAAACACAGTTGATGGGCAGTACCTGTTCATTGATGGAGCTGTAGTCGTTGGTGGTGGAGACGTCATCATCTTCCGAGTCAAACAGGCCGTCCTGGTTGTCCAACAGCTCTGCCAGGACTCTGCTGACAGACTCCTGGTCTCGAAGGTCCTCTCCCTCTGTTGATAGACTGCAGAGAGGAGACGAGAAAAGAGTGTGTCTTGTTGTGTGTACACTGCTCTCCATGGGAAAAGCTAAATAAATGCATGTGCAAGTACTTTTGTTTGCCTCTATATGTTATATCAATAATTAATAAATAGAATTCTCCCTGTAGAGCAATCCTGGTCACACTTTCTAATAATTTGATGATATAATTTTACTCACAGAAGGATTTGAAACTAAATAACTTCAGAGTTTGACACTGAGAATTAATACTACACTGGGAGATCCACACTATCTACCGGTCTAGGTGCAGAAATAAGCATGCAAACAATGCGAACAATGCAAATGAGGATGCAAACAATAAACTAGAATAACCGCCCTGATCCGCGTCTGGATCTTTATATCATTTTAATACTCGTCAAGTGGAAAAACATGCCCTTAGCTCACAGTATCTGACAGCTTATTCTGTAAAGGTAGAATGATTGTGACTATTAAACACAATCATTAAATAGCCATATACAGGTATCTTACTGGAAGATGTCGGGCCCGAAGACGGCGGCCAGCGCCCCGATGTTCCAGCTCTCCTGCTGAAGTGATGCCACACTGGCCAGGAAGCGACACAGGAAGCGCAGCAGACCATAGTTCAACTGGGGAAGCTGCTGCAGGAGGTACTTCAAGTTTCTACACAGCTCCTCTTCACTGCTGTAATCTGCAATGTTTAAATGTAGGATACAGACTATGTTTACATGTGACTATTAACGTTTTTATCAGTTTATAATCAACATTAGAACTCTTTATACATGATGCACTCAATGTTACTACAAGGCCCCTTTTCATTTCTGTATGTGGAGACGTGCGGAGTGAATTATGGGTTATCAAGTCCGTTGAGTTCTTTCGCAGTTGACCTTAAAAATTCTTATCTCTGTGAAATATGCAGACACTGATAAGATAAATACACAATACTCTGGAAGAGGTGAACTGAGGTGAAACGGGAGATGGCATTAGGAAGGACAATGTGGAAAAAAAGGGTAATCTTTGGAGAGTCCACGCAAACTCGCCCACTGCTGTAATTTGCATTACAGCAACAGGAACAACCATCATGACGACAATGGGATTAGAACAGATTATCTGTGAGGCCAAAAAGGCCGACAAATTGAAAAAATGGGAGGGAAATGTGCGCGTGGTTATACATTGTCAGTAATCAGTCTTAATTTGTTGCCTGGATTAAGGACCAGTGTGATTTAGTGGCATCTAGCAGTGAGCATGCAGATTGCAACTAACTAAAACTCCTTGATTCCATGTGCAGGAGAAACTATGGTGGTTGCAAAACTCTTAAAAGGCCATATATAGAGCCAATGTTTAGTTTATCTGTTCTGGGATACTGTAGGAATATGGCGGTTCAACATAGCGGACTCTGTGGAAGATGACCTGCTCCCTCTGTAGATAAATTAATTCCAAGGTAATTTCTTATTTTTAGGTGATTATACGCTAATTAAAACAAACCTATGAACATTTTATTACAATTCTGCCAATAGATCCTCCTAAATGTTACACATTGGACCTTTAAGTAAGAAACATGCAAAATGAAGAGGCAGAGATAAACAGACAACAGAAGGAAAAGAAAGCACAATGACTTAGTATCACTATAGAACATACGCACACACCATTTAGGTACTACAACTAACTACCTAGTGTTATGAATTAAGTCCACGATTCATTGCTTCATTGAGTGATCTTACTATGCAACTGTGTAATCAAGCTTAGATATTACCAGTCTTAATACACATGTTCATCTAACTATTTAAATCTACAGACAACTTGATAATTCTCATCCATATCTTATTAAATGTTGGTTAAAATAACGGTGTGTGTTTCGTATTATGTCACTTCTCTTTTTGTCAACAGATGCTCAATAAAAAAAAATCACATCTTTGGTGTTATCTGTAGTAATGTGTCCCTGTATCGCTGTTTGGGATTAACGTGGTTTTTTGTTGTTTTGGTGTTCTTTTTTTTTTTTTTTTGTTCTTGTATTTTTTTATTATTTTGTGATGTTTTTTTGTTTGTTTTTTTCTCAGGAAGCTCCTGCAGGAAGAGTCGGAGCAAACTGACCGCTGATGCCAGGTCTGCCTCCTTCTCTAGCTCCACGTCCTCGCCACTGTCGTAACGCTGGCGCAGCCAATCCACACGCTCTGCGTTGCCATTAACCAGGAAGAGGCCCTCCAGGTCCAGATGACCTGATGACACACAGCAATAATTGATTATAATCAACTTTATTAACATATGCTTGGTTTGGTTATTGAGCAGTTGTCTGTTTTTAAACCACCTAACCTCCTGTACCAGGACAGACCGGCAGTGAAGTATTAGAAGTGCTTATTACATCTGTGGGGTGCTCCTAATTGGCTTATGCACCTGAATGCTTTTCTGTTAGGCAGACATTAATCAAGCTGAAGGAATTTCTTTAAAATAAAAAAAGATTTAATTTTAATTTAATTCTGCACAACCTGCCAATGATTGAGTCAAAACCTAAACATGACTTGAGATTTACATTATCGCTGGGAAGATGTCCTAATCACAACCCTACTCTGCTAACAAGGTTGCTTTAGTCTCTAAATATAAGGCTTGGTTATAGCTAAGGCTGCATTAATACCAGCTAAAGGTTTGTAAAATTCACCAATATATTGGTTAGGCATGCCCGCTTGTTCTTAACTATACTAAGTATCTGACTGTTATATAATCTTTTCTTTCTCTTTTGAAGTCTTTTCTGGTATAAAAAAAACTCATCTGCTGATAAATGTAAATGCCTTGAGAAACTATAAATTCATAGAGATAGATAAAAAGAAAAAAGAAAAGAAAAATAATAAACCGTCTCTCCTTCATCTTAAATCATAAGACTGTATTTCTCAGCCACATTTGTAAGAGCCTTTGAAATGGGACCTTTTTGACGTATTTGGTCTAGAGTCAGTATGATCTTGCTCCTGAACTTGATAACCAGCTAACATAAGGTCAGCACAAGAATAGAAGTACAGGGACCTGTGTATACAAATGCATTTGTGTATGTGAACTTCTCCCTTATCAGTATAAACAAATAGACGCATTACCACACTGACTGTTATCATTCCTATCACTGGGTGTTTGTGGTTGAAAGGACAAACCGATAGTATCGCAAGTCATGTCAGAGCTTGGACCGGTTTTAGATTTTTTTTTTAATATTATCATGTTTTTCCTCCTTTACATAATAAGCTGGTTATCTGTTCATCATGCATGCCTGTGTTCTCACATGAACCGCCTGCTAGCTAGCTACTATAACGAGCACCGCATTTGCACATATCAAAATCAAGATGATGTTGGCAAATGTTCACTACATACTGACAATGATGTATGTGTAAAACCATATAATTCCATATAAAATGTGATCTTTTTATGAGATGAAAAACGCATGCTTATGTACGTGTATGCCCTATATCATTAACGCTTACCTACGCTTGGCTTGCCTTAGTCCTGCAAATGTTTCATGTAGCAATGGAGGAAGTCTACCACAGTGTGACGTAAAAACAATGACTGTCAAATGAGAATGCTGATAGGCCTGTTTGGGTATATTTTCGGCTGGTTCCAGAATAAAGCGGTTCACCAGTGGAGCCGAAAGGGTTTGGTGTGCTTCAAACAAACTAGTTTGTACATACACGTGTCTGAACATGCCTAAATGCAAAAGTGGTTGTCCCACACTCGAAGGCTGGGCAAAAAGCCTGCCGTAATACAGAGTGGCAAGATGTGATGTGATCTTGTAAAGTTACAACCATTGTCAATCCAACAAGCACTTTGTTTGTAGCATACTGCATCTTAAGTAGAGCATAAAGCAATTGATTTCCACCCAGTGCTAACACGTTTCACTGAACATGTTGCGTTGTAAGCAATTACTTATCATGATGACTATTGCAGAAGTCCCACCCAAAGTACCTGGCAAGGTTTAAACACAAGAGGCAATGCTTCAAGATAGTTGAGGTGGTAACGTTGTGGATTATGAAACGACACAGCGCATTGTTCTAGTCCAAAGATTCCACAGGAGTCCTTTGGGACCTATTCCCATTTTACAACTCAACAAAATAGCATACGTGCAGGACAGCATTCAGTGACAACAGGGCTCGCAGTAAAGATATCATGCAGATCACCGATCTCCTCACACATTGCTGATTAATGATTTGAGTAAAACATTGCTCAGCCCAGTGTAACAATGCAATATCTACCAAAGCCTTGTTCAAATTGCATGAGGGATGTAATCTATCACAGATGTCACAGCTTTGGTCCGACACAGCTTTAAGTGCTCTCCATTTTCAATAGCTATCCTACACCAGATTACCTTTATACTTCATATTTTCAACACCTTTGCTCCTACTAAAACCTCAGACATCACACACAGAGAGATCAAGGCCTTTTCACTGGCTGAATAACTTCTGGACTGGCAGCACCACTCTAATTAATGCGTCAGCAGAGGCCCGGGAGGATTAAAGACTTATTACATAACCTCGTATGGTCGAGTGGCCCCCAGGTCACACAGACCATCAACCTGCTTCACTGGTCACTTGTGGGGACTTGAGGCGAAGCTTCATTCCAATTGTTAAAAAATAAAACATCTATTGGCTTGACAGGTTTTACAAGAAGCTCACTCCACAAGAGAAGACTGAGAAAGGAAATTGAAAAAGAAGTTTTTTCTATTGTTCAACCTGTCAAGCAGATGTGTGTTTGACATAGTCATTAGGCTTCCAAACCCCAGGGCCAAATAAAACACCTATCCAACACATATGCATTACTTTCTATAACATGTAAATATATCCAGTGGGTCCTGGTGATGTGTCTTTAATTTGTAAACATTATTTCCATATTGGTCTTCAGGATACTTTCATTTATTTAACAATTAATCCCAATCAATCAGTGGCAATGACTTTTTTAGTTTAGTTAGATTGCTTCTACTGTGAGACACAAATGAAATTAATTGTAAATTAAATTTACAAATTGATCTTTACATCCATATGCAATTTTATCTAATATAAGACATACAGTCATTTTGCACACACAAGAGATAATGAGATTTTGGGAAACCAGTTAAATCTAATCTAGAGACTACCCATTTCCCAGGGTTCACACCAAACAATGCATCCTACCACAACATTGACTGGTTAAGGCTGAGGGCCGAATGGGCTATGTAAAACATTAGAAGACTGGTACTGATGGTGTTTATATATCCCAGTAAAAAGTAAAAAAAAAAAAAAGAAAAAGAAAAGGTTCTGCCTATGCTATGGCTGGTTAGTTTAAAAACTGGCAAGTGAAATGGTCAGTCTTCATTTTTTATCCCTCTCATCCTTCACAGCCAACCTCTCTTATGAAGATAATGACATTAGACTGAAGTTCCTGCTCTGCGAGGCTTGAAGAGAAATGTTCCGGGGGGATATGGGAAAGGCCCAGGGCCAGGACTTTGGTAGGTTCCTCTCTTCACCGTTAAGCTCTTCTGTTTTCACAAGTGGAGCTGCAGCTGAGAGAACTGTTATGTAATGATGAAGGAAGCGGACCGGAGAACTGTGTGCCGGTGCATTCAGAGTTCATCTTATCACATAAACTGGATCTCCACTACCGACATATTTTGGTTTATCATGATGCAAGAGCAGTCAACAGCAGCAGGGCGTGCTTGGGAGACTGAAACGTAACAGAAGGCAATCAAATGTAACTGAGTGCTCAGAAGTAGCAAGAAATCAACAAATTCTGCTTAAATCACGTACAGGGAGGGAATTCTACTGGCCTAAGGAAAGATATTTAAAATTCTATCACAGCAGATATAAAAAAAAAAAACATTTAGTTTCAGGATTTTCTTTTTGTTTAAAAATTCTGCTTCTATTTTGTACACTCAAAGTATAGTTTCTTTAGAGTGTAGCCTTGGAAAGGTTGCATAGTTAAAGCATACTTTTAAACATAACTCAAATGAAAATGTGAGTGTTTTATTCTGTATTTACATTACTGTGTATACTCTGCCAGTGTAAAATAAATAATGACAATGGTCTGAGGTTTTTGATTTCATTTTGAGCATTTTGTTGAATTTATAGTCAACGTTTTCCATTAAACATACTTATAGGTTAATAGAAACCATTCCACCCCCTGGCAACCTTGCAAATCAAGAGCGGTTGTAGATAATGAATTAATTTTCCATTGAATCACTAAATAACGGGTGATTCTTCGGTTATATTTAAGGAGTAACAAAGGAGACAAAGATTAACTGACTGAAAACGACGAATGCATCACCACAAACGTGGGTGTCTATGAGTCATAGGAATATACAGTATATTCTTACGACTATCAAGGCTTTAGGCATTTCAATTTACTTGAGATTGTTGCATTGGTGTCATCAGCATCAGTTGTCAGTCAGTTATTTTAGGTTCGTGAATATCGCTTTAATGGAACCAATTCAATATGAATAACTATATTCGATCTGAAAAGATGTGAAACAAAGATCTGTAGCCTAAATGTCAAAAAAATAATAAAACATTTAAGGAATGGCAGCAAAAAAAATGGCTTGATTTGGGGATATAAACGCCACTGCATGTTTGTGTTTGTGTGTGTGTGTGTGTGTGTGTGTGTGTGTGTATATCACTCACCATGCTCCTCAATGTAGTCGACAATGTGTTTCACCAGTGCAGGAACCTCATGGCCACTGATTGTGTGTGTGCGTGTCACCTCCTCCAATGGAACGCCAAAAACACGTGTGGTGCTGGCTGAGCTCCCGCCCTCATTGCCTGGCAACGGAGACACGCTCTTCCTCATGGCCTCCTCCTCCTCCTCACCACAACCCCGCCAAGACCTCACGTCTTGAAAAAGAAAAAGAAAAGCAGAAGCAGGGAGATTAGACATAAAGTGACATGGAATCATTTACAAAAACTAAGAGCCTTGGTGAAGGATAGAGCCTGGCATAAATCATGGCTTTGGATCTTCAGTCGTACTCTCACTGCGAGCCAAAGAGAGCAGAAAATACAATTACGAAGACCAAAGATCCAAGGAGATAATAAGAAGAGCGAGTGAGGGATATCAGACAACTCTCTACCTCTGCTGTTCACAAACAAACAAAATGAGCACACCACCCGTAAACATGGGAGTGGCTGGTTTACACATTGTTGCATGTTGATAATCCTCCCCTCCTCAAATTTAACCAAGAAAGAAGAGGAGGAGGAGGAGTGAGAGGGGGAAGGGGACAATGGACAGCAGTAATACGCCACTGGCCAGAAAAGGCATTTACACCTGGTCCTTCAAAAAGGTAGGAAGAACAGGTGGAGCAGTAGGAGGGATAAGAGCAAGGGTATATTTAAAAGTGTAATCCGTGTTTGGGAGTGTCATATGACCACTACAGTCATCCATCACCAGTCAGTGTTTCTTAAACTGTGAATTTAGATAACGAGCCCTTGTGAAATGTTCGTATTCAAAAGAACCAGTAGGTGGAGAAGATTATTTTATAAAATGTAGGTTCCAGGTAGAGAAGGAGACAGATTTAAGGTTTAGGCAAGAGTGGTGATGCTGCTGTCAGACAGGGATCATGAAGCAGGTGTCCCGTCTATGCTAAATAAAGCAGCTAAAGCGGCACCCCAGGAATTCTGTCTGTGTAAAGTATTGTATCAACTCCCCACAGGGGATGTTTTAAATGACATAAACACGTCTGTTACATAATCATAATTTAAAGGTCATTACTTACATTAAACTCTGATCCCTACAGTATTTGTCACCATTTGTCTCCCATGCAAAGAGGTTGCTATCACTAACTAAATGGAATGGAAATGAATGCAAAGAAAGAATCCCCAACAATAATTTCTGTTCAAAGTTAGACTTTGATGATGATCAGCTTCTGAGTAATCTGAACAAATGACAAAAAAGTGGAACATATGCAGGTATTGCTCAAACACACACACACAACCACAGCAAAAAAGGTGGGTACAGGTTTTTAGAACAAAGTTTAACTTGGTCAGCTGTTTGCTCCTCCTATCACTTTGCTGATAACCAGTGTAAAACCAGTTTGTTGGTGTATTTATGTCCAGCTTGTTCGTCGAATGACAGACATCCCCAAGAATATTCGTGGCAGCAGAGTGGCTTTTATATATATTTAAAATATTCACATGTATTCACATATATGACATGTTTTCTTAAAGAATTTTTGTACCGATTGAATAACATAAGCCTGTTTAATAACTTCCTGTACAGTAATAGACTGTACATATTACTCTGCATTAGGAGGAGGGAGGAAGTGGGAACTCTCATTTTAAAGAGACAGTAACTTCTGCTGGGTTATGGCTGTCGAAGATACAGTTGACCATGGCGGACTGCCTGTCTAGACAACTTTTCTAAGAACTGTAACAAATTTGACTTATGTAGTGTTACAGTTGTCATTTAATTATGTGAAGTTAATGTTAACTCAAGGACCTAAAGGGTGGAGCTCTAAATAACGAGTCAATTTACAAAAAGTGAATACTTTAATATAAAAAATATGCATTTGAAGTGAAGTGGGTCCATTACTTCCTCCAGAAATGGATGTGCCTGCATGTGTTCGTGTATGTGTGAGTACTCACCGTGTAGCAGTGAAAGTGTGTCCTATCCTCTCCTCCCCTGCCCAGTGAACAACTGAACCATCTATGGCTGCTTCAGGTTGTGGCAGAAGATGAGCCGGTAGTTCCTCATTGACGGACCGCTAATCCCTCTTGCAGGATCCCCTTCTAGCTACACTGAGAAGAAACAGAGAGAAAGGGAAGAGGGAGGAACAAAGGAAAGGAGATAATGGCAGAAGAAATGAAAGGGTGAGGGTGGAGACAGAGATGAGGAGAAAAAGATACAATGTTTTAAGTAACAATCCTTCATAATCTTACAAACATCTGATTTACTTTCTATTGTAATAAAATGAAAAAATGCAGCGTGTTTCAAGCTGTACCATCTAACTATAACTTTTACATTTGCTGTTCTCAAAACCTGTTATCAAGTGCACAAGAAGAGATGCACATTATGTTTGTAGCTGTAACGGTAATTTCCTCTAAACCGTCTGTCAATCTTGTTGAGTGGTTCTGGTTCTTATCAAATTATTATTTCAAAATGAAAAATAAATAGAAGTACTAAAAGCAAAAAAAAACTTATTTTATTTATTTTCAACAGGCTTAGGTAGCCATAATCAGTAATGTGTCATACGTAGAAAGAGCGCTACCTACAGGAAATCAGACCTCAACAGAAAATCCAGTACTGCTGCAGTACAGACCATGCAGTTTGAATGCCATATCTGAATTGAAGTGCACACTCACCACAGCGGTGGTGACTGCTTAATAATAATGACTACCTCAAACACAATGACAAATACACAGTTACACATGTTGCTGTATTCATACTAATATTAAAATTCATCATCTTAAGATGTCCAATTGGCTACAGACGAGAACAAATTTCCTCAAACCAATTTTTCAATTCAATTAATAAGAACCAATTGCAACAGTTGTAATTGATGCAATAAATCAACCAAATGCTAATTAAACCACATGAAAATACCTTTCCACAAACTGGACCAAAGGAGGACAAAGGATGACTGAACTATAAAGAAAGTGAAGAAACACATTGCATCGTGCAATAGATGATTCAGTAGAGAAACATGCATTTGTCCCTACAGTGAATCATCACTACATGCCAGCACTCAAACTAAAATCAGAATCAAACAGATTACAACATTTGTATTTGTCTATTTCTGTTTGTGTCTCCTTCACCTGTTTGAGGTGTTGCTGCTAAAGAAATAGAGTGAATATAGGGGCGCCCTGGTAGCTCACCTGGTAGAGCTGGCACCCCATGTAGCAAGGCTGCAGCGGCCATGGGTTCGAGTCCTACCTCTGACCCTTTGCTGGGTGTCATTCCCTCTGTCTCTCCCATTTCTTGTCTATCTTCAGCTGTCCTATCATAT